AAAGCGTCGTCTTTTAAAACACGCTAAAAAAAGGCCACTTAAGTGAATTCGCGCTCGACAAATTTTCAAATTTTCCCCCGTCTTTGAAAATCTTATCTCTCATTAACAAGCGTCGTCTTTTGAAACACGCTAAAAAAAGGCCACTTAAGTGAATTCGCACTCGACAAATTTTCAGATTTTCCCCCGTCTCTGAAAACTTTATCTCTCCCTCCTTGAAACCTCCTGAGCTCCTCTCTTCTTGAAACCCTCCTGAGCTATCTGAAACACTCCATCTCTCACCTTTCTACTCCTCATACGTACCTACCAGCTATTGATGCCATCGAAGCAGAGACGCCATCAACGCCATCGACGCAGCGACGCCATCAACGCCATCGTTCTTCGCATCAGTCATCACTAGCCGCCATCGACGCCATATTCACAGTCAACGACGACGATGTCCTTGAAAACATATCTAGAGACCTTGCGAGATGGGAAAATCCTAGAACATCAAATCTGGTCTTCGATGTTGCCTGAGGTTCGATGACAGATCTCCATCACGCCTTCTTGGTGAGCTCTCGCCATCCACGTCACAGAAGCAACTCTAAGTTAGTCAAAATGTTCTTCCGTATTGTGTTACAAATGAACTTTTCCTGCATAAGCTTATGCTTGTATAGATGATGCATATTTTTTGTTAGTTAAGATGACCTTGAAAATAGATCTAGAGACCTTGCGAGATGGGAAAATCCTAGAACATCAGATTTGGTCTTCGATGTCGCTTGAGGTTCGATGACAGATCTCCATCGCGCCTTCTTGGTGAGCTCGCCATCCACGTCACAAAAGAAACTCTAAGTTAGTCAAAATGTTCTTCTGTATTGTGTTACAAATGAACTTTTCCTGCATAAGCTTATGCATATTTTTTGTTAGTTGACAGCAAGATAATGTAATCTTATTGTGGTTTTTGATTGCTCAGGTAAGATGACATGGCAAATAGGTGCTGCAGCTTATATCAAGTGTAGCTCAAAGGCCAAGATGACAACTTAGAAGAATATAAGATCCATTTGACCAAGATGACTTAGAACACTACTCCAAGATGACAGCTGAATGTGGAGAACAAGTACAAATTGTGGAAGATACAACAACCATAGGTTAATGCTTTGGATATGGTATTTTGTAATTATAGGTTATAGTGTTATAAATATGGTATTTTGTATGGATATAATAGGAATCAAGATTGGTAAACAATGTAATTACAATTGAATCTTCAAGTTTTATGAAAGAAATAATTTTTTAGGATATCTAAAATGAAATTAGTACATCACTTTTACAGATAATAAACGGCGATTTTTTGGAACAAAACCGTCTTTTTAAGATTTAATAGACGTCTTTGGATATAATAAACGACGGTTTTTTCAGAAAAAGTGTCATCTTTACATTTAAATAGACGACGGTTTTTTCAGAAAAAGTGTAGTCTTTACATTAAATAGACGACGGTTTTTTCAGAAAAAGTGTAGTCTTTACATTAAATAGACGACGGTTTTTTCAGAAAAAGTGTAGTCTTTACATTAAATAGACGACGGTTAAATAGACGACACTTTTTCTGAAAAAACCGTCGTCTTTACATTTAAATAGACGACGGTTTTTTCAGAAAAAGTGTTGTCTTTACATTAAATAGACGACGGTTATTTCAGAAAAAGTGTCGTCTTTATATTTAATAGACGACGGTTCTATAAAAAAAAAGTGTCGTCTTTACATTCAATAACGACGGTTTTTTCAGAAAAAGTGTCGTCTTTACATGTAATAGACGACGGTTCTTTTAAAAACCGTCGTTTTTACATATAATAGACGACGGTGAATTACAGTCGTAGTTTGACATTCAAAAAGATGACTGTCGATTTAACGACGGTTTGGAAAAGAAAAAGACGACGGCGTTTCCCCGTCGTCAATTTCAATTTTTGTAGCAGTGAGTGGTTGGTGTTTTGGGTAGTTCTAGAGATCGGATTTCACCCAAACTTAACCAAATGACTCCTCCCACCATATTATGACGTTGCCCAACTTTTGCGCTCGATCTGAAATCAATACTGTAAGAAATTGGACAGTTCAAGTACACATGTAGTTCGTTTCTAATTGGACTGATTGGTATTTTAGGTAGTTCTAGAGATCGGATTTCACTCAAACTTAACCAAATGACTCCTCCCACCATATTATGATGTTGCCCAAGTTTTGCGCTCGATCTGAAATCAATACTGTAAGAAATTGGACAGTTCAAGTACACATGTAGTTCGTTTCTAATTGGACTGATTGGTATTTTAGGTAGTTCTAGAGATCGGATTTCACTCAAACTTAACCAAATGACTCCTCCCACCATATTATGACGTTGCCCAACTTTTGCGCTCGATCTGAAATCAATACTGTAAGAAATTGGACAGTTCAAGTACACATGTAGTTCGTTTCTAATTGGACTGATTGGTATTTTAGGTAGTTCTAGAGATCGGATTTCACTCAAACTTAACCAAATGACTCCTCCCACCATATTATGATGTTGCCCAAGTTTTGGGCTCGATCCGAAATCAATAGGTGTAAGAAATTGGACAATTTATGTTCAAAGGAACTTCGTTCCTAATCGGAGTGGTTGGTGTATTCCATAGTTGTAGAGATCGGATTTCACTCAAAACTAACGAAATGACTCCTCCCACCATATTATGATGTTGCCCAAGTTTTGGGCTCGATCCGAAATCAATAGGTGTAAGAAATTGGACAATTTATGTTCAAAGGCAGTTCGTTCCTAATCGGAATGGCTGCTGTATTCCATAGTTCTAGAGATCGAATTTCACTCAAACTTAACCAAATGACTACTCCCAATATATTATTATGTTGCCCCAGTTTTGGACTCAATTCGAAATCAATAGGAGTTAGAAATTGGACAATTCAAGTTCAAAGGCAGTTCGTTCCTAATTGGAGTGGTTGGTGTTTTGGGTAGTTCTAGAGATCAGATTTGACTCAAACTTAACCAAATGACTCCTCCCACCATATTATGATGTTGCCCAAGTTTTGGGCTCGATCCGAAATCAATTAGTGTAAGAAATTGGACTATTTATGTTCGAAGGCAGTTCGTTCCTAATCGGAGTGGTTGGTGTATTCCATAGTTCTAGAGATCGAATTTCACTCAAAACTAACCAAATGA